TTATTTATTTATTTATTTATTTATTTATTTATTTATTTATTTATTTATTTTATATTTTTTATTATGTTTTATGATACATCCCGAATTCATTGAATTGGGGTTGTATGGAGGTCTTCTTGGAGAGGGGGGAGGTCTGCACTTGAATGAAGAGGGTGGAGGAATGAAACTCAATAATAGTCATGTTTCCATCCATTTTCTTTTTGAATTTTGAGCAAATTTTTTAAAACATCACAAAATTGAAAAAAAAAAAAGAGAGGGGGATGCGAATCGACATGTTTTCATCCACTGGCTTAGAGTGAATCAACCAGGCTACGCAAAGTGTAATTATGTCAGAAGTTGATGTTACGCACGGCTGTAGTAAACAGGAAGCAAAGTCGCAAACTTGCAGGGACACACATCTCAGGTCAATGGAGAGAAATTATCAGGAACGTGTTTCTACTGTTGATAAAGTTGTAATTATTCTGTTATATCAGCTAGTACTGGCGATTGTACATGCTGTCCAAAAACGTATAAAGAAATGTAATTCTCTTCACATWACGGGAATATCTGGGAAGATGCTAAAAGCAGGAGGGTGAAGCTGCAGCCGCTACAATTACTGGACACCAGGAACAGCTTGAGGTAAATGTTCGCCACATCAGAACTTATTTGGTAAATGTGTTTCCATCTCCTGTTTTGCGCATTAACTCTTTTTCGGAAAATCTAAAATCCACCTTAAACGAGAGTAAAAACTATCAACCTTTTCTAATGCGATACTTCAAAATGCACATAGAAAAGTGTTGATGGAAACATTGGTGATGGTACTAAAATAATTTACTTTTAATTGTCAGAACTCATRGAGTCCTGGAATAAATATATTCTTGTCTTGTTCTTTAACTTTTGGTATCTTTGGTAAGTCTTGCATTACCCCTCCTTTTTTTGTTAAATGAGCTWCCTTTTCTTTCATATAGGTTTACAAATCAGGCCACAAAATAAACACAGTTTGCACTTTTTAAACAGCTTTTCTTAGTTGCCATTTTCTAAAACCGACTGAAGCTACAGAGACTTTTCCACCAATACAGTATGCTGTAGACCTTTACTGAATAATGCATTTCAGGGGAAAAAACAACTATTTAAAAGGTAGACACTTACACACAAAAACAACAAACATGGGACACTACTCACAGAAGCTGCAGTGAAACCAGTCCATCAAATATTCCTTTAGGCAACTCAGTTATCTTATTACCATACAGGACCCTGCAACAAAAACAACAGTTAGTTTACATAATTTACGAAGCAAACATGTTGACACTGAAGTCATACGAAGCTCAGAGGAATTCCTCTACAGAACAGTTTTCTAGTCTTTGGCCTTTAGTGCAGCTRTTTATTCTTTTACTTGAATGGTTTCAAATATGTGTCGTTCAGTATCTATATCTATCCATGTGAATTATTCCTGTTGATGCTTTTCATGTTGCTCTTTCCCTAAATCAACTGAAGTGTATAAAAAGTGAAATGCATTATTTATATTTTAATAGTGGACATCCATTACATTGAGTACAGATATTCAGCTTCACATAAAGCGAGGAGGAACCATAATAGTTCAGTTCAATGGGAAAATCGTCATCATTAACTCAGCTTGAGAACCTCGGATGAGGAAAAATGAGTGTTGGGTTTAAAGACAAAACACATAAATATTTATATGATTCAAGAATGCAGCAAATCTAAGTGACACTCTTGTTTTCTGTAACTACAATCCTTCGAACCATTTACGCTTCTTATTGCAGTTACAGTCATATACTTTGCTACTCCACACCCTTTATAAGTCTCTGCGGCAGATCTGCTCTCAGTGACACGCCTGTACAGCTAGCTGACTTGGTGCATGTCCATATTTGTGTGCATGTTTGCACGTTCTGCAGAGTTCACCTTGTCTGGCCCTTCATGTACGACTGTCTCCCTCATTTTCATACTACAGATTGATTCAAATTAAACTGCCTGCCATGTTCTTATCACATTTACCCTCATGGAGGCACACACACAAACAAAAAAAAAAAGCTTCTCATAGACACATACACAACACAAAAGCTGCTGTGTGGTGTTCAACTTGTCAACATCGACTGGGAACACATTTTTATTAGCCGAATGTCTGAAATTGAAAAACCCTTGTCTGTTTGTTTACGCTCCGGTGTGTGTTTGCATATATTTATGCCGTACTTACAGAGAGGTGAGTGAACGAAGACCACTAAAAGCATCCGCAGCCATGTCAGAAATCTGGTTCTTACTCAAGTCGCTGGGGAGAGAATGAGATTACTGTAATACACAGTAATGGGGTTCATTCTGCGTGAACGTCCTAGAACTGTCTGACAAACGATCATGCCAGAATGCATCAGCTGAGGTCAAGGAAAGAGGACAAGAATGAGGAAAAAAAAATCAGAGAAGGAGCAGAGCGTGCGAGTAAATGAGGTAAAGAAAGGGAGAGAGACAGGCAAAGAAAATGAAAAGAAAACTAAAGTGACAGGAGCGGGAGAACAAGAGACAGGAAGAGAAGCTGGTGGCAGTGGCACGTTAAGTGCAGATCATGTCATTCACTTCTGCTGCTGTAAGATATATTATTAAACTTTGCTGTTGAAGTGAGGTTAAAACTCCATCTGTGAGAACCCATGGGTCCTTACAACCTTTTACATCTCTGCATGTCATGCATTTTTTATGTAATCACAAAAAAATGACTTTTTTACCACCATTTCATGTCTGGAGGTTATTGATATTCTGGTTAATATAATAATTTGATGTGTTTATTTTACCAATTGACAAATACATATCAGGTGTTTATTTTGTGCACGTATAAAAGCAAACAAACAAACAAAAAAAGCATCATGATAAATAAAACATTGGCGACAGCTCTTAAAAAAGTCATGCATTTTTATAAGTGCATTAAAGGCATAATTAAATATATTGTGACTTACATTCTCTTGAGTTTCTTGTAAGCTGAAAAGGCTCCTGGTGGGACACTTTTAATCAGATTTTGCTCCAAACGACTGGAATGATAAAAAAAGAAGTAGAAAAAAGTCAAATAAATGAAAAAGGATGGTGTTATTTGATTGTTAACATTGTTTAAGTACAAATTTACCACTACATAAAGTGTTGAAATAGCTATTTGAAAGCCTTTGATTATTGTTTTTTGTAGCAAACATATCCAGTTCACTTTTTCTCATTTTAAGGTTTTATGAAAACCTGTTCTCCACACAACAACACAAACGTGTTAAAGGCTATTGTTTAAAAAAAACATTGCTCCTCTGCAGAATGGCCATTTAGGTTTACCAGAGTCTAAATTGAGTTTTGCAGCTCAGAACTTAACGTGATATTATATCAATCTAATATGGCTGTTGAAAAAAATTAATAAATAAAAATACTGTTGTTCATGGTTAACATAATTTATTAAACATGGAAGAACTGTCTTATAGTCTGTAGTAAATAGAATCTGTACATTAACATTTATTATTTTTGAATCATCATTTCTAAAATGTTTCCATTTCCAAGCGAAAGTATATTTACGAATATTTTATGAGTTGCCAAACTTTTTAAGGATGAGGAAATTCATCACATCTCTCTTTCTGAATGACAGAGCACTCATCACAGCAAACTGGTAGGTTTTATATCATATCATGACATCTGTTGGCTCAGAGTCCATTTTTAAATGTACAAGTTTATTGTTCTTCAGTGGTTTGGACAATATATTAATCGACACAGATGCATTTTTGAGTTCACCTTGTTGGRAAAAAAAACACAAGGAAGGGATGCAGACAGAAAATGAGATGTAAAGAAGGCAATAAACCATCTTAAGAGCTTAAAGGAAGAAACAGAGAGGATGGAAGGATGTATTAGAGAAATACAAAAGGAGGAGGGGGCTGGCCAAGGAGAAATCAGAGGAGTGGAAAAGTGTGAACAACGGGAGAGAGGAGAGGAAAAATTAGAGAAGTGGAGGATGTGGTGAGGTCCCAAGGCCAGCCACAGGGTCAGCTGTCAGAATGATAAATGAAAACTAATCCACCCCTCTTCTTCTTCTCATCCTTCTCTTCTGCCCSAGCTCTTTACCTCCACTTTCCTTTTCTCATGTTTGCTTTTTGTACTCATTTACCTTTGTATTAGTCTATCAATTCCACAACTGCTTTGTGACGATGTTGGCCCAAGGTTGAGCTTTGATCAAATTTTGAGGGAATAAATGCAATTTAGTTCAATTTATTAAACCAATTTATTAAACCAAACACTCACTGTACAATATGTGGTTTGGATCAAACACAGCGCCACGCACTTAAGTTGTCTATTCTTTGGCCTCAAACCTTTCAGCCCTTTAGTCCCCTTGCAGCCAGCTCCACTTTATCTCTACCAAGGGGTCAAAATAAATCAAGCATGCACAGATACTGACAAAAACAATGCGCACACACAACATGTTACAAATTATATTAAAGCCCAGCTAAACAAGGTCGAGACAAAGACACTCAGAGGATCGATTTTAAAATACATCATAGAGGGAACGTATTTGACAACTTGTTTTAAAAAGACTCAAGAAGGTGAACAGAATGACATTACAGATGAAGCAGGGATAGTTTGGCAGAATGGGTCAAATTTGCACACGTCTATAGCTCATTTATGCAAATCTCTAACTTGTTGCAATAAAGCTAATATTTTGGGACAAAAGCAAACACGTGAACTAGCTTCGCTGTCTTTATATTTAACTTCAGGTGTCAAATGAATAGACAACATTTGGAAGCTGTTGTTGCATTCAAACGAGCTTGTATGCATTTGGTAGTGATCTCTGCCACAAGCATCCAGAAAGATGACTTTGTCTCCATTAAAAAGGACTGACAATACATCATCCTATTAAACTCTATTGTTTCTGGCTGCAGCAGCAACATTTATCATAATTGATCCGATGCTAATGCTGTTGGTGTGTCCTTGTGATTTCATACAAAGTGCTGTTAGCTGTGTCTGTTGTGTTTTCCACTCTCGGAGAGCGTCACTTTACATTTAAATTTGTAGTCATGCTGGATTTTTATTTTACTTTTTTAACAGAAAATGTATTTGTCTACGAGTTGGTGTTGTGTAGTTTGTGTGTGCCGATCTTTACTTATGTTAGGGAAGTATTGCAATCTTGGTGTAAAAATGTGGTGGGGAATTGCTCCTTTAGTCACAGAGCAATCAAGCGGCTGTCCTCTGTGCAAACAGGCAGGGGACAGCGATCAATACGGATATCAAACATGTCCCTTGATGGGATGTATGGGCTTGTGTGTGTCAGCAAGTGTGTGTGTGTGTGTGTGTTTAAATTGTACAAGGAAAGCAAATGAGAGTAAGAGGAGCAAAAAAAAGTGCAGTTTGGACAACAAAATGCCATTTAAAAGGTTTAGCAAATGCTACAGTTTAGACGTTGGTTCCCAGAGTAATCAAAAAGATATTGTTTGTGAACATTTATGCATGTTTGCATTGCAATTGTGTACTTTTATAACCTTTTAGTCAGAAAACATTTGGAATTGGAAAAAAATATTTGACGTCCACTATGCTAAAAAAAAGATGTTCAAAAAGTCCCACACAAAACTGGTCACAACTTAAAATAAAWGTTGCATGTGTTTTACTGAGGATGCTAAGATTTACATTTTAAAAGCATATCATAAAGATCTCTTACATCTCCACGATGCCCTCCGGGAGATTTGCTGGTATGTCAGTGAGGCCTTTACGACGACAGTCCACGATGTTGTTGTTGCAGCTGCATGTGGGCGGACACACGGCTACCTGAGGGGCACACGTCCTCGACTCGGTCTGTGCTGGACCTATAGATGGCAAAAACCCAGATACAAATAGGTGCAACCTAAATTAAAAATGGACTTCTATTCTGTAAGTGAAGATGATTGGGATGTGAAACGTTTTTAAATGCTAGGGTCAGCGTTCTGTCCTCGATTACTAAGAATCCATACTAGCATAAACACAGGGTTGTTTGCATTTTTTTCAGTACGAAATGCAAAAAAAAGCTTCATTTTTGCCTCATTCTTTCACTGCACTTTTTTCAGAGTATATCTGAGTTGATGTTTTTTTTTCCTTGTGGGATTAGTTCTAGCTAATTTTAGTCTCTTGTGATGCTTTTTGTGTGTTTTTGATGCATAAAAGGTACTTTCATAGAAGCATGCAATCTTTTGATATTAAAACGGGAGGAAGCTGAATAGTAATGGTACGTATTATTTGGTCAAAATATGCACATAAAATATCACCAGATATGAGAAAGTGGAGAGTGAGTATACAAAAAAGGAGGTTGAACAACAAAAWAAAAGAAAGCAGAAAAAAACATTTAACTGAAGGGAGGTGTTATAAATGCAGAAATCAGTAATGAAATTAAAAAGGAACATGCACTAATGACAGAGTGAGAATTAGACTGAGAACCAGTGCTTTTCTACAGAACATGTGAGCAGAAAAGGCTTCAGGCTAGAGAGAAACAGCAGCCTGACACTTTATTAGTACAGACAGCTGAATCAGAGGCCAATAAACATTGCCTTTACTATCTGCAGCTGATAACACCACCAATCTTATGCTGACCTTTTAGCTGATTACATGCTGAACACAGTGTAATTTTTTTTCAGTATTACAAATACAACCCTAAAGTCTCAGTGGGTGAAAAAAACACAGCTTCTTCTGATGACCTATAGGTTTATCACAATCTTTCATTTTTTTTTCTTTATGTTGTCTAAACAAGAAACAGAAGTGTGTTCATGTTAAAAGTGTGATTGTACTTGAATCATCTCTAAATTGCATAATATTAACGGGGACATGACATGTAAAATCTACATTTTTAGCTTTTAAATGCTTTTTGTTTTGCACTTGGAGTCTCTAGACGTGCATAAATGTTTTAGTTTAGTCTCTCCTGGTGTTGCAAAAGACACTTTTTTGTGTGTTTGTGACATATTTTTAACAAATTTAGTTTTCTCAATTYTCTATGATGTCTTCTAAACTATTGCGTCAAATTGTTTGCGGAGGAGTTTCTAAATAAGGTCTGGACTTCCTGTTGTTGACATCTTTAAATCAGTTTGTAAAAATGAAACCAGTCTGGAAGCCAGAGGGGGAGCAGGGTGTGAAGTGCCTCATTTGTATTTAGAGAGACAGCATCAAAACGGGTTGATCTGAGGCACACCTCAGAAAAAGGGTCAAAGAGGGGCTTGTGGAGTTACAATAAGGAGGAATTCAGACCCATGCATTGCAGTTTCACTTTATATAGACTTGAACTGAATCATTGAAATATGAAAAAGAAGGACTTAAAAGCAGGATATGTCCCCTTTAAAATAAAAACTGTTTTAATGAACATATTTTTTTATTTTTGTTATTTTTTCAAAAGTAGATTATTCACTATTATAGTACAATTGCAGAGTAGAAACTAGTATGCAAAATATTTCCTGTTAAATTCAGCTGTCACTCACCAGCAAATCCTGAGTTAGGTTTCAGTATGTTTTCCTACCTGCAGTTTGGTCAGTGTGCTGTTAAAGATTCTCTTATTGTCATTTAACTGCCTCTCCAGTGCATTTCTCTCAGTCAGACTCCAACTCCATCCTCTTGGACTGAAGCTGTCAACAACAGTGTTTGTTCTGCTCTGCAGTGTCAGTAAAGCTGGTGTAGGTGCACACTAACTGCTTCTCCACTTGCTGCAAGTTCAGACCCTTCAGCTCACTTAAGTGGAGTGAAACAAAGACCACCATTGCCAGCTGAATTCGGCGATGTCAGAGGTAGAGTCAGTCACTGAATGAGAGACTTACTGAGAGGCAGCTGAATGGAACAGTGATCTGGTCAACCTCCAGATAGACAAACACTGGGGTGGGTTTGCAAGGACCAAATGGTTAACAGCAACTAGTTTTTAAAGGGATCCCTGATTAGCTGTAACATTAGCCTTTTCTTTGATAAACATCTATTTTAACTGTAAAATCAAGACTGTAAAAATACTGTAGGCTGTTCAGTTCTGTAAATTTTTAAAAATATATTTTAACATGACAGAGCCATTTTGTTTACATGCAAAGCATTCTGAGTAAATGATGACGTGGAT